TATATATTAGGGCTGTCAGTTTAACGCGTTAACTTAATTAGTTATGAAAAAATATTTTATTTTAAACAATGTGTTTTGCTCAATTTTGCAAAGAATTGATTACCTTTAAATTCATAGCAGAAATGTTGTGCGTCATCGAGCAGCAGTTATATTTTAAACCAAATATTATGGGTTTTTGTTAAATTTTGCAGAGAATATATTACCTTTAAAGCCACAGCAGAACTGTTGCGTCTCCGAGTAACACAGCGGTGTTTAGTTTCTGAATGAATCCGTGTTTTGAACGAATCGTATGAACTAATGATTCAAAGACTCATTCATAGAGAGAGCCGTTTACTTCATTCCTGTATGAATCAGCCGTTGAATGAATGACTCGCATTTACCGCCACCTGCTGGCAGATTTAGTTTCTTATTTCGAATATAATTTCATTAAAAAATAATAATAATAATAGTAATAATAAAAATAAAAACATTAAAGGGATAGTTCACCCAAAAAAATATGTAAATTCTGTCATCATTTACTCACCCTCATGTCGTTTCAAACCTTTCTTTTGTGGAACATAGAAGAAGGTATTTTGAAGACAGTTGATACAGAGCTGTTTTGGTTAATGACTTTCATTGTATGAACAACAAAAAATACTGAGATGTTTCTCAAATTATCTTCTTTTGTGTTCCATAGTTTATGTTAGGCCGTTGTAGCCTAAATATTTATGTGTAATAAATGTTATGTTAAATCAAATAAAATATTTATTTCTAAAGCTACAATTTGTAATGTCTACTTGATACTTTTACATTTAACACAAACTGATTTTAGCAAATGGCTGCAATATAACAAAGAGTGAAAAATTTAAGGGGGTCTGAATACTTTCCGTACCCACTGTATATACATATATTAGTATGTGAAATATTTTATATACGTTTGTATAAATTATGTTTTTACACAGGTAACACTTTTTATACTAAGAAAGTATAAACTTAGAAATGTATACTCGTAAATACTTGTAAATATATACTATATACTTAGAAAGCCATAGGTTTTGCTCAGATGCTGCAATCGAGTTATCAGAACATAAGATCATAATACAGTTTTCTCCCAAATCAAAATATAATCATTCATTTTCAAAGACATCAACATATAGTTCTGATTTAAAATAACTTTTATATTATCAGACATTAATGCTTCTTTCTCAAAGAACACACACATCAATACCTTGGCTAGTGCCAGCAGTCTCTGCAGTTCTTCACCAGGCTGCCACTTGTCTGCCCCCCTACTGGGAGACTCCGGATTCGAGTTTTCATTCACGACGCCTTTTTTAAAGAAACACTCATGAATCCTTGTGTTCAGATCTGACACTTTCCTCCAAACCCTGCTGCTCTGAAGGGCAAGCCACCATTGCCTGCCTCTCTCTCCAGCCAGCCTTCCCACAATACACCTCAACATCTGAGAGCCAGCGCTTAGTGCAGCACAAACAAATCTCCAACAAGAAAGTAGAGCATGTCGAGCCCAACGAGCAGACCTGCCAATGCTTTCTATTACAGCTACACTTGAACACCAGCTCCAGTCCAGGATTCGCCTCAAATCTTGCGACATGCCTGGAATATCTGTGACTTTGGAAAGCATGTGTGCTCCAAAGTCGTATAGTGCAAGTGCAGAGGATTCAACAGCAACCCCACAGCGGTGGGTCAAAGAGATGATGAGCTCCACAACAATATGGATGCAGGAAATGCACCAGGGGCTGACGAAATCTGCCAGGAAATCCCGACACACCACGACCAGCTGGATCCCGTTTGTCCTTCGTACGCGGCTGTGATTTTGCAGATGCTGGTTTCGTCGCTTCAGCTGCTTGTGTCTGCTGGGCCCAGAGGATGCAAGGAAGGATTTATGAGACATGGAAGATGTCCACAATGGTGTTTGATCGCAAGGCCCCTGCCCTGATCCACTCTTTTTGGACTTTCCTTTCCTACCCGTCCCAGCATTGCGGGATCTAGACTCCCCATTGCCTCCAAACTCACTCTCCAATTCAATTTTTCCCCCTCCTTCAAATTTCTCCTTGTCCTTCTCAGAAATCCCATCTTGCACCTGATCATCATTCAAATCTTCAGTTTTGGTATTTTGCTCCTCATTCTCATCTACTTCCAAATCAAAGTCTTCATCAGGGAATTCACAATCAAAATCAAGCACATCAAGCGCCTCATGTTCACAGTCAGGTGCTTGAGATGATAACACATGGCTGTCATTTCCATAACACGGACTGGCCAGAGAAACAATGGGCGGCTCCACTGTATCCCATTGTACAGCCATGTCTTCTTCCATATTGCTCAAATATCCAAAGGGTCACTCCCTCAGGCTTAAAACAGTCATGAGGAGATCCATCTTGAGCTTCAGGGTGGCAGCAGACTTAGACATGCATGCACTGTATTTAACAACGGTCTCATATTTACAAAAGAAACACAATATGGGGTCTTCAGCAAGTCCAGCATGGCAGACGATAAGAGACATTTCCAAATCACGGCGGCATTCTGAACCCCTGCAAATGAGAAGAAACTTTAGCCATGTACAATAAATAGTGCATATGAACCTAGTCCTTATATTTGAAACCGTACGTTTCAAATTCTACACTACAAAAAAAATTTTTTTTTAATAAAAACTTTTTATATACTATATACAAGGAGCTAACCAACACAAACATCAACACAACCATAGGGTAAAAACAAAAAGCAAAAATCCCATTTATTTCCTCCATTGAATTTTTTAATGATAACATATAAACTTTTCAACAAAGACCTACCATCCAGATTGTGATTTAAGCATTGATAGATGTTTCTGTAGACACAAGTAATTTCTAATTATTCTGAAGTGGAATTAAGCTGATATTCCTTAAGAGATGTAATACACTTGATATAGTACTGTTTTTACCCTATAATCAAAAATTGTAAATCAATAGTTTTATATTGCACCATTGTGATTAGGGCTGCACGATTATGACAAAAATCATAATTGTCGATTATTCCTTTGAAATTGTAATTGCGATTATAAATTACGATTAAATTAATGTTTACACCTTTGTTTGAAGCAACTGCATGCCATATTTTTTTATGAAAATAAACAAGCCAAAGACACTAACTGAAAAACTTATTGCTTTTCTATAGTATTAAGCCTCAAATGTCAACTATACATTGGATTGGTTTCTTCTTTAAATAAAAAGGTAAAAATATGCATGGTATTATAATGTTATACTAAAACTAAAATGAAAACAATGGAAAACCCCTTAAGATAACATGTAGAAAGAAAAAAGCATCTTAAGCAGGGCTGTGCAATATATCGAAATTATCGAAATATCGCAAATGTACATATCGCAATATGCATATCGCTACAGCTTGCAATATTTGGGGCCATGAACAAAAGACAAAGAGAAAATCACTCACTGCTCTTACCGAAGTAACTTTTTGTAGCTTAAATAAGAATCAGTGCATATTGAATTCAAAGAGTAAATACTAGGCAGTGTTATATTTTTATTGTAATCGCGATTAGAAATTCGATTAATTGTGCAGCCCTAATTGTGATTCGAGAACATCACTTGCAAAGCATGTTCACGGAGCAGTTCCCAGACTCATTTTTCTAATACTTTTTGATACTTCATGGCTTGGAACTTGAAGATATTTTGTAATATCATACAGAGAAAATTTAATGGAAGATGCTTCATTTACTGTTGCCTTCTATATTCAGATTTGTGGAAAACCAATATAGGCATGTTTTTTTTGTGTGTGTTACCGATAAAAAATACACATGAAACCTACTGGCTTGTATGTTTTGACAACCAAACAATGCATTTACAATTTGTGGAATTACTAAATTCTTGTTTATAGAACTTAAAGAGGTAATTTAGCAGTTTGATGAGTAAGACCTTTCACTGTTAGTGTCAGCAAGTTAGCTGACCTACATGTCAAGTCCCACAGTTAAGACTACATAACATTCAGTCCTATTATGGGTTGTCACGAAGATTTTTGAGCAATAAAAGCATATCACACCCATGAGGGAAGTACCAGAGAATGACATGTAAACATGCTAACATCACATGTCTGTAACTTACTGAACACTCAGTCCTGATAAAGTGCATGAGCATCGACTCCTCAAATGCTGCTCACTGAGGTTTTACAGACGGCGCTTGTTGCTGTAAATGTTTAAGTTTAATAATCTTTATATTCGTTTAAACTCTTGCTTTACGATGCTGTTTTGCTTTAGCAGGCATGCTAACAGAAGAGCATCCACAGCGAGCCGTGCTGCATTACTACTCTACAAGAACAGTGTATAGACAGGAAAGTTTATCTCGGGTGTAAGATGAGTTTGAAGCAGCTCAGCCTGTCTTCTCACCTATCTTTAGCTGCTTTCACTGTCCTTCTCTCTTCATTCTTGTTCACTTCCGAGTACAGCACGAGCGCTGAAACGTCACTTCCGTTTAAGTAACCCTTTCCTGCCTTCTGTTAACTGGATGGGAAGGAAGGCGTCACGATACGCGATTTCTTTCAACTGTCTAAAAATAAAATTATGATCAATAATGTCTACAATTAGCTTTTATTTTCCACAATTGGTCATAAATACAAGTGCATTTGTTCCAGTCCAGTTACAGTTGAAACACTCATCCATAATGCATTAATGTAGCCTAAAACCACCATTTACAGCAAATGTTAATTAAAAAGCCATTTTACATCAATATTTTATTTTGGCTCCTCATTTTATTCAAGCCAACGTAAAAACCTGCTAGCTACAGTGCAAAGTTTGCAAGCAGAACAACAGCCCACAGTTTATTAACAATTAAAATTAAAGGGGTCATATGATGCTTTTTTAAAGATCATTATTTTGTGTATTTGGTGTAACGAGCTTCATCTTTCAAAATAAATGTAAAGACCAGAACAGAGTCGCGAGACAGACACAGTGATGAAGCTGGTATGTTGAGAAAGGAAAACTTGAAATTGCATCATATGACCCCTTTAAGAATAATTAATCACTACAACATTGATCAATTATTTTATCACAGCATTTTTTTTCTTACATCTGCCAACATATATTTTTCTTTCATAATTTCGCTCTCTAAATTAACTGCAGAGCTTATGAATATGCTGATGCATATAGCTATCTAAAAGCTGTACCCAATAAATAGGCTACTATTATAACCTATTTATTTTAAATATTTCTCAAAGTGCTTCATTAACAGAGTTTTGCCTGATATCCAAGTTTTATTTGATAGTCAAAAGGAAACAATAGATAAAGTCAAAGTAAAATGAGTATGATTACATACGTTTATTGATTAACGTATCTTTCTTGATGCTCAGTCTTTCAGTCTTTATCAAGTGATGTTTTAGCCAAGTAAAAGGACTGCTTCACAGCATTGTCCCACACAATAAAAGAAAAAAATGATGTGAAATGAAAAGTAATAAGTAAATGAATATATATGAATATTAAAAGAATGGATAGATAGATATATAGATAGATAGATAGATAGATAGTAGTTTAGTGTCATTATCATATCTTGTGTAATTTTGTTCTCAAGGGGGCATTGTTGTTTCAGTGACTGCCTTGACTTTTGCTAAGTGGTCTTAAAACAGTTCAACATGAACAACACTGTATCAAATGCCAACTGTGTTGACTGAAAAAATTGAGTGTAGCCTATAGTTTTATTTGTGCAGTTTAAATCCAAATGCACAATAAAATATATACGCACAAAATATATATATTTTAATATATAAATATTATATATAATATAGGCCTATTATAAATATTGTTTATAAAATATGCACAAGTACTAATATGTTCTATTATTCAGAGGTAAAATAAATCAGCTGAGCTGAATCATATGCCACATGTTTAACTGACAATTTATGGTGACATTAAGAGGAGGAGACTGAACTTCATTTGTCTTGCTAAGGCTTAGCTAACGGTTTATGTGTCCTAAATATACAAAATAACGCAAAAATAAAACCATTCTATTCGTATTCTGTAAAGTTCTATTTAAAATGAATACATAAAAAACATATGAAATAGATCAAAAAGAATGGTGTATGAAAAAAAAGATTGTCAGTCAGTCTTTAAACAAACACACACACACACACACACACACGCACACAGGCCACGCTGTGCTTTAAATGAGCGCAGCAACCAGTCAGAGGCTGAGGTGCCGGGGAATCCCGCTGCTCAAGCCGCGTCACTGAGCTCGATCACCGCCCACAGACTCGGTGATCTCCGGCGCTCTTCCACACAACCGACTGACTGCACTCATGCTTGTTCATGCATTAAATCTGATACTCATTATAGTGGGGCTCCGTCGTGCTGTATAGCGCCTAAACGGCTGGCTTTCACATTGTACAGATCTGAGCTTAAAACAGTGAAACGGACAAAATTCCCCGTCCATCCACACCCTGAAGCGAGAGGCGCTCAAACCGGAGAGGAAGGCTCTTATTCGGTCAGATGGCGTGCCGCAGTCCGCCCACGCGTTTCTCGCGCCCACACAGGCAGCGAAAGGAGCGTCATTAACTCACCGCTACTGCCAGCACAGCAGAGCAGAGCCGAGACAACACCAGAGTTTCAAGAACATTTTAGTCCAATCTCACATCTGTAGAATAAGGTCTAACAAGCACAGAAAACTAAAAAAAAAAAAAATTACGCGTCAGAGGCGTAAAGATACAAGTCTTTTAACAGAAGGAAAAGTTTGACTGATATTGAGTTGAGTTTCAGAATCTGATAGAGTCGGTCGTTTGGTTACTGGAAGCTGAAGTGTTCTGCTGGATCCTGTCCTGGATTCTGTCTTGAAACCTCTCGAGGTGAGTAGTAGCCTGCCCTACACAACTACTGACGAGTCATCTACATTGAGCAATTAGCTACTATCTTCATCAATGATCAGAGGAAAACTACTACTGCGGGTTATATTTAACAACAACAACTCATGAGCATATGAAGGGAATTTCGTAGATAAACTAGATCATTATTTGTGAAATTTAAAAATATGCAAGCTGAAAAAAAGATACAGAAAAAGATACATTCTCAAATAAAACATAAAAACATAAAACAAATAAAACATTCTACAGCTACTGTGACTACAACATGTTTTTGCTGTAGCTTATACATGGCATGCACAAAACATGCAACTTTTAGGGCTAAGAGTTTTTTTGTAGCCTAATAGTGACCCTGGAGCACAAAACCTCATAAGTCATAAGTCGCTGGGGTATATTTGTAGCAATAGCCAACAATGCATAGAATGGGTCAAAATGATCGATTTTTCTTTTATGCCACAATAGGATATTAAGTAAAGATTTTGTTCCATGAAGATATTTAGTAAATTTCCTACTGTAAATATATCAAAACTTAATTTTTGATTAGTAATATGCATTGCTAAGAACTTCATTTGGACAACTTTAAATGCAATTTTCTCAATATTGTAATCTTTTTGCACCCTCAAATTCCAGATTTTCAAATAGTTGTATCTCGGCCAAATACTGTCCTATCATAACAAACCATACATCAATGGAAATCTTATTTATTCAGCTTTCAGATGTATAAATCTCAATAATAATAAAAAATGGACCTGTATGACTGGTTTTGTGGTCCAGGGTCACATACAGTGTTGGGGAGTAACTAGTTACATGTAACGGAATTATGTAATTTAATTACAAAATAAATGTAACTGTAATCAGTTACAGTTACTGAGAAAAAAATGTGTAATTAAATTACAGTTACTTATGAAAATGTTAATGGTTACAAAGGGGGTTACATCTGAATATTTTCACACACACACACAACACACACCCACATACAGATTTAATTGATTTCTTCCCAAATTGCATTGACTGCTCTAAAATATGAGACACCAATGTTTCAGGAGTTTAGGACACAGAATAGGACACGTTTATACGATAACTGTTTTATTTCCTATTTGGGTTTATGTATATGCTTTTTTTTAAGATTAACTGTTAGATGCCTATCTTTCCTGTCATGCAAAGATTTGATTTCAAAAACAGTATCATAGCTATTAAACTATTCCTTGTTATGGTTTGAAATCTGTATTTAACCTCAGAACGATCTCAAAGTAAAAAGAGGTGCTTTTGTGGTGGATGTACTTTAAAAATAAATTATAATCTTAATTCAAATGATGATGAAGGATTCTGAAAGTCTGACAGTATTGAGTACCATTGTAAGGTTAACCCTGCCTGCTTTAAATGTTTCAAAATGATT